TAGAAAAAGGTTCTTCACCCAGAAGGTGGTTGGATGCTGGAACAGGCTCCCCAAGGAAGTGATCACAGCACCAAACCTGACAGAGTTCCAGAAGCATTTGGATGATACTCTTGGGCACATGGTGTGACTCTTGGGGATGGTCCTGTGCAGGGCCAGGAGTTGGACTTGATGATTTGGATGGGTTCCTTCCAACTTGGCATATTCTGTGATTCTGTGATTCTGTGTAAAGTACAATGCAGAACAATTTGAACTTAAAGCACTCTTACTCCTGCATGTGTGCCATCTTAAAAATTCAATGAAGGGAATTAACAAATAAACTGTTATCACAAAATAAATGATTTAAAATTATTCTTTATAAGCATTCTACCAACTCACAGCTACCACCGTATCACTCATTTTTTGTTTTAATGCAAATTGATACTGCATATCAATTAAAACACTGGTTTTAATGTTTCTTCACAAAATTATGAGACGAGTATATAGGAACAAAATAACACCAGAAAGGGGTAGTGCTATTTGTCCGGTTAATAAACCAGTGTAGTTTTGTTCAGCTACCCCTTAAGTTTTCTGTCTCTAGATATATTTCCTGAAATGTAGGAAATTACATCTAAACACAAGAAAAAAAATTTTTACTACAAGAATAATGAAGTTTTGGAGCTGGATTCTCAGAGAGGTTCTGGAGTCTTCAACCTTGGAGAAACTCAAAACCTATCCAGACAAGGTCCTGAGCAACTCACTCTGTTTGACCTTGTCTCAAGCTGGGGCACTGGATCAGACAATCTCCTGGGGACCCTGTCAACCTCAGCCATTCTGTGATGTCATGTTTTTCCAAAATCACCCTGGTGTGATTCATAGCATTGGATGAAAACAAACACTTTTGTAGCTCTTTGAATGGGATACATCCAATGTCAGTTGAGTATTGAGCTAGTCACCAAGGTTCACCTCCTGGAGAGAAACAGGCAATTCATTATACCCTAAAATGATAGCAAATACTGCCTGTGTGAATAAAGATAAACTCCAAAGGTGACTATTTCTCTTGTTAATCCTAAAGTCTGATATGAAATAAAATGAGATCCAGCCATTCTAGGTGGATTTTAGCTACAAGTCAAAAAGAAACTTCATAGTCAAAGAGAAGTGAACCAAACCACAACTACCAAAATTCCAGTCAAAACAAAATTTAGAACAGCCAAGGAAAATTAAAAATAATGGCAATAATTAAAAACTTCCAAATGAGTGTAAATAAATAAAAATTAGTCACAAATGCAAACTTTGTGTCTCTTATGTCTATATTCCATATTATCTCCATTAGTAGAGTATTAATGTGTACAGAATATATTATGTTGTATTGGAAGTATGAAAATGATTGGAATTATTTTATTTCATCATCTCAATATCAGGATAATATTACCAACCAACACTACAGTGCATTTTCTTGCATACAGTCCACAGCTCATAGCCTAACCTCTGTGAAATTAGCAGTCAAATTGCACAGGTTTCTGAGGATACAAGAATATAGCTGACTTAAAAGAAATATATGTATGGAATTTTAGAAAATGGGGGAGTGATACTTTTTCAAGAAAGAGGTGAAAAATTGGTGTGTGGAAGCAGGCTTTCCTCTATTTCAGTACTAAGGTATACAGGAAGTGGGAAGCATCCAAGGGACATAGGGCTAAGCTTACTTCAGCGCCCCTCTCCCAAATTCATGGTGGCTGTATACGCACAAAAAACGAGTTCTAAAATAAATTTCCCCTTGTATGAGCTGTAGAGGTGTATAAGCTTTAGTTTTGCTTAAAGGAGATGTTACAACATTGTTGGAGTGGTTGTGCATAAACTACATGTTGTATATAACAACCTAATGCAAAAAAGAACTGAATGCATTGTTTCAAAATGTGAACAAAATAAGATTGAATCACTACTTCCTGCTGATATATTTCTTATCTGATTAAATTTGTTTGCCATAAGCAACCAAGACGTTTTGTGTTTTCCATGAACCATGCAAATACAGATTGATTTCTATGTGCCAGTTTCACTACCTCTAAGGCAAATAACATCTTACCCTATAAATGGTCCCACTGCAATGGTGTGATTCTTGAGATGTCCTGTGCCAGGCCAGGAGTTGGACTCAATGACTCTAATGGGTCTCTTCCGACTCAGCATATTTTATGATTCTATGATTCTATTAGTAGAGCACAATGTTATCAGAATATTTATGTTGCAATCTGTAGGTTTCATATACAGACAATTTTTTTAATCCTGGGGTGGAGGGGTTTGATGCAAATTCACATCTGGGTGCAGATTTTATTTCAGCCAAGAGTAGGCAGAAGACTGTTTCTGTTCAACTTGCCAGACCACATAAACCCAGAATTTATGCTCATTTTATGTTCATTGTGGAACAACAAACAGTACCTGTTTTGCCACAAAATTATAATAATATGGACAGACTGCTACATCCAGGTTCTTCTGATGAAATCTTAACATTTCCTTACTAACAACCCTAAATAAACAAACTGAACTCTTGCCATGTGAATACTCATGTAGTTATGTGTTCTAATCTTGGGATTTAAAATTTACTCCTGAGCACCTGCCTGTCTGGAAGCTGCCAGCAGAACCCAGCCAGAGTGGGTAGTGCTGCCCAAGGAGAAGAGCAGGAAGGCTGGAGATGACAGGAGGTCTGAGTTTGTATCTGCTTTGACCATCTCAAACACACTTCCTCAAGCTACCATTCTGTTTTGGCTCCACCCTTTCTGTACCAGAATTCCTTTGCTGTCGATTGTCAGGGCCGAGGGAACCGATTGGCCTCCCTGTCCCTGCCCAATCCCCCAGGGCTTCCCCCACCTTTCTGTGGCCCAACACCCATTCCAGCTCCTCAGCTGCAGCCCCTGTTGTGGGTCTTCATCTCCCACAGCCCTGCCCTGCCTGGAAATGAGCCCTGCCAAGCTCAGCCCACCTGTGGGATGATATCCCAGTCAGGGCTGGCCTGGCCCTGTCCCAAAGGAGAAGCTCAATGCCTGGGGCTGCCCCCACAGCCCACCTGCTCCTGTCTGGGCTGGATCATGCCCTGCCAATACACTTCTCCCCATGCATTGCTCATGAACTGCTCACTTCTTGTTTCTTGTTTGTGACCACTTGTGGCTATCTGTGGCAACACCCCTCCTTTGTGCCTGGATGACAAAGAGCAAACAGAACCAAGTTTTTCACTGAAGAAAGAGAGACAAAAAATATTAAACACATCCTTCTTGCACATGCACAATGCCTTTGGTGTACAAACGGCCACTGCCCACGTGGAGGAGCACCTGGCCTCAAGGAGTCACATGAATGAAAAGCCATTGTGAAAATAATGCAAAAATCAGTACAAAGGCATGCAGCCCAGGTGATTGACCCCAAACAACCCTGGGAAGCCACCAGAGCACGTACTCCATGGAAGAGCACAGTGCTAGCACAGGAAGAGCTGACAGTGGCCAGCGGCTCACATCCCAGAGAGCATTGTGCTATAAAACCTGTTTGCACAAGACACATTGAGTACAGCGCTTTAGGTTCTCAAGCTCTGTGTCTGCTGACAGAATTGTTTTCTGTATCCACAGAGAAAGAAAGTATATTTTGACTTCCAAGATGTGTAGGATGTTCGTTACATAAGGAATGTTTTTTTTAACCTCCTTCCACGTTGGCATTTTATATACAGAAGTTTTGTAACACTTTTAAAATGGGATATCCAGTGAATACTTACAAGGAAAACAGAACATTAGCTAAACTTGTTTTCAAATGTTTTTAATGAGGCTACATAAACTACTCATGTTTTCAGCAAGGCAAATATATCTGATGGTACACAGAATTTATAAACACTGAAAATTATCTGGAAGTTCCAAACAGAAAGAAAATCCACTTCTTTGCAGGTGAAGACAAAAAAAGTAAGTTTTAGGCATGTTTATAGTACCCTCTGATGGAAATAAGAAGCATTACAACTCCTCCACAAAATTTTTTTGCTGACAGTAAACACAGCAAAGATACATTTTTCCAACCTTTTGTAATTTCCTATAAATAAAGTAGATAAATAAAACGATTTTTTAAAATATTAGGAGCTTTTTACACACATAGACAAATCTTAATCAGTAGAATAACTTCTTATTCTGGTTTGGCTTCCTCAAGAAAACAAACTATACACAATATGAATTCTTTCCACATAATCAGGGAGAAACCTTCTCAGAGATACACAGGTTTACTCTTTTCATTTTATACTACACATATATTTATTTCTGTTTCATAAGAATTAGAAAAAACATGGTATTTTTAACATTCTGTATATTAGATTACCTATCGGTATTCATCCCATTTGTTTGTTCAGATGAATCACTAACATACCTCAGAAACACTGGTCAAAATTGCAGAATGTCAAGCGATTTTTAGCAAAATGTCAACTAAAATCATCACAGAATTAGCCTTAAAAATTCGTACTCCTTTTAAGATTTAAAATATCAGAGCAAACTTGCCATAATTTCTTTTTCCTTCTGGCTGACTCATAAAGCACTTCAGCTTTCATCACTAATTGGCAGGTCACTGAGAAAGTATTTTATGTAGCATATTAGAAGGGTGAATAGTTTTGAATTCTGACTAAAACTCTATTTCAGTGTCTAGCAAAGTTTTCTTTAAGGGAAAAAGTCAGTGCATTACTTTTACTTGATTGTGGTGGATAGGCCCTATTTTATAAAGCATTCAAGCTCCTGCCTAATTGTTTCTCTCTTGAAAACATCATAATACATAATTAAATATCACTTGATTCTTATGAGCAACAGAAACTTACAACTTATTGTTAATTTTTGTTGAATTAGAAACTTGTTATATTTATGAGAGATAATAAATATCTAAAATAATTTAAATCTAGTTCAAGACTTGTTAGAGTGAAGGAAAAAATTTCCTTTTCATTTGAGCTCATACCTGTTCCAAAAAGATCTGTTAAATTTATTATGTTGATAAATATAAATCTGTTTACCCACAAGACACTGAGAGAAAGCAAAGAACATACTTTATTCACATTCACATGTTCCAGCTTTATAGTGGGCAATCACTTGAATTGAAGGAATGACTTTTATACAATCAAAGTTGTCAGCCTTTAGGGTGAGACTTCAAATAAACTGAAGATAACACTTTTAGTGTTGCAGCCATAACTACGTACTGTGAGCCAGGATGTCCCTCCTATTCTTGACTGAAAAATAATGAAGAAAATCTATGTCAGGATTTTTTAAAGGTATTTGTTGTATTAATAAGGTGATCTAATAGCTCACCACTCCTTAGCATAACAATTTGCCTGCTTTTTCAATAAGCAGATACCCCAAAATGATTATTTTTAATTTTCCATGTGTTGTTTTTCTACGGGCTTAGTGTGCAGACTCAGCTCCTCTAGGAACCTGACAAGTACCAGGAATGATGCAAAGGAAGAAATGGAAGCCTGTGCCTAAGGGTAGATGAGAGGGCAGTAGCTCTAGCAGGCTCTAGCAAAGGAGTGAGCTGTTAGATCAGACAAAATACATTGTTAAATTCACCCTAACAGAGAATTATCCAGCAGCACATATTCACCTCCACGTTTATATTGCAAAATTACACTGCAAGATCTATGAGAGGAAAGATCAATCACAACATACATCCTATATGCTCACCTAATCCATTTGTAGGTCAGCAGAAAAAGAAAAGGCACTAAAGATTTACTTTATGTTATCAAGCACAGTTCTGTGACAAATACCATGAGAGAAAATAAAGAAGTAGGTGAGTGATCAAGTTCTTTTGGAAGTGGTCAGCAAAACTGCATTAACAGGAACAGAATTATATTAGAATTAATGAAAACTGAGTATGCAGAAGTCCTGGGAGTTCTGGAGTTCCTAGAAAATGTAGAACTGTGACTTTACTCAGTCAAGCTCAAGTCATTTAATCTTGGTTATGAGTTCATCACCATAGAATGTACATGTCTGGAAAATTAAATGAAGGAGATACATTGTCTGTGGAAGGACTTGTAAAGATCTTAGCAGAGCTAACCTACTGAAAGCTACAAGTATTTGGAAAGGCTCATCATTTTCAGTTATATGACAGGCATGTAAGAAAAGGAGTTACTCTATTGAAATGCCATCTAGGCTAGAGAACAGACCTGTTGCTTCTCTTAAATATTTCAGTTATGAATGTGTGTGGAAGCCGTAATTATCAGTGAAGCTTCATTGCTCTAGGTCCTGTACAAAAACATCACAGACTTGAAGAATGTGAAGAATTAATAAACAAGATGTTATAAATTTGGGACGAAGGAAGTGTTTTCTCCATTTTACAGACAAGGGAATAAACTGGGCAGTTTGAATGATTTGTTCAAGGTTGCAAAAGATATCTGTGACAAAGCTAGGATTTTTATAATAAAATCATGGGAATCATTAAAATTAATCCTATGTTACAATTTATTACAAACACATTATACAGGTAGTTCCTTCTATAACAGTACATTTTTTCATGTTGCAGTTCTACTCTGCATAAGAATAAAGGAAGCGTTCCTAATGAGCTCAATAGGATTTACATCTGTCTACTGAAAAGTCCACCAGAAAAAACACATTCTTAATTTCACAGATTGCTAGAGAACAGTTTCATTGCCATGTATTGAAATTGCAATCTAAGTAATGGATAAGGGCACAAGTATTTCTAAGACAAAAGATGACACTTTTTGTCTCCAAAGATCTGAGAAAATTCTCAGTCAAGACTTTTAGACTGGAGGCTCACAAATCACCTCCATCATACAATGAAACAGAGTGTCATTTGCTACAGCAAGGACACACAAGGAAAAATTCTTTTAAAAGGATTTATTTTCAAAACATAGTTATCTAGAATTTGGAAGTGATGTTAACCTCCAATACAGGTTTCTTCTTTTTCTTATCCACATTTGAAAATGTAGGCTATACTGTAGCACACAGTTCCATGTGTTACCAAAAACATACATGCAAACCAAAGAAATCTTGGAAAATAAAGTAAGGCACTGTCAGAGCCAGTGAAAAGGGAAGAGGGAGAAAATTATTACTTATGGCTAACAGTAAAATCTCGTTGAAGTAATATGTACAAAATTGGATCATAAAAGGTTCTTAGAATGTTGGTGTTGAAAATGAGTGGTAAAAAATGAGAATCAGGCTTTCATAGGTATATAATGTACTACACAGGAAGCAACTAATCCAAGTCATATTGTTTTTCCTCCAAAAGAGTGCTGATAAACTCTCCATTAGGATTGCAAGCCCCTCTAGGCTCTGTCAGTCCCGTTATTTAATCCTAAATGAAGTATGTCTTATCAATTCATTCTACTATGACCCTGGTCAAGGTTAGATGAGGGTCTAGCTATAAAAGAGCAGGAGGTAGCAAAAAACATTATTTTTACTTGACAGGCTAAGAAAGCAGTGATGTGCACAGAGGTAAAAATTCTTTGCTGCAAATACGTTTCCCCAAATATGTTCCATTTATTCACTAAGAGAATATTTTCATTCTTCAAAAACATTTTAAAATGCTGGAACATCATAGTAGGCTTTTTCTTTCCTGTACTTTTTAAAGTTGAGATAAAAGCAAGGATTTTATTTTTTTAGTAAATCCTGTTTATGGGAAATCTATTTAAATTAATGCCACTCTTTTTTCAAATGTCTTTTAGAGTCAAAGAAGAAAGTGAGTCACATGGCAAAATTATCCTGCATGCTATTATCAGAGGAGATGAGTCAGCCCTCCTACTGTTTGTTGATGTATCTGTCTAGTGAAGAGGGGGGAAAAAAAGGAGAAAAAAATCCCTACTCTGGGGAACTTATCAGATCACAATACTTTGTAAAAACCAAGAACTAAATAAAAATTACTTCTTGGGAAGTATGTCAAAGTGTTGCAACCCCACTATATGCTTTCCCCTGTTGCAATGAAGTCTAAGCAAACCTTCTCTATTCATATTCTATTTCACTCAGCCATCGGGTGCAAAATGTGCATTTTTGGGTAGGACATTGTGGATGCATACCCAAAATTACACTAAGGTGGCACAGCACCACAAAGTATAACAAGGTCAAGAAAGCCACTAAATTGTTGCAATTCTTAAGAATACTGTCACTTTTTGCTAGAGGGGCAGAGTACAACACGATGTATTTCAAAGACCCCTGGGCTAAATTGCCACTTGAAAGATGTAGGATTATGATCAAAGGTGTCAGATGGATTTCACCAGGGGTACCTACTTTGTATTAAGCTACCTTGTGCAACCTTGCTGACTTGTGCAACCAAACAGAAAACACAATAAAAGTTGTTTTGTTCAAGTGATGTCCAGCATTACTAGGATCAAGGTTGCTATTTTTAAAGTCTCTTAATTCAATATTAGGTTATACTGTCCCTATTAACAATAAGGTAGGCTTGATAGGTGGACTTGAGTTCTTCTCGTACTTAGTATAAGCTTCAATTTATTGGTTGGATGTTAGCCAATAATTTAATTTATTCCATGCTCTTAGATGACAAAGCTCTGTCAACAAGGAAAATGAAGAGAAATAAGAGATAGAGGCCATGATAAGAAAAATATCTAAGATTAATGCTTTGTGAAACCACTTATTCTGTTTGAACAACCGAATAGCTTATAATCTTCATCTTAGCTGTCCTGACAATGTCTTACTATCATGAACAAGTGGAATATGGTATCAGACTCAGAGCCCTGTGACCCAACCAGTCTTGTGTAAAGCAAAGCTTTCTACAACCTGATATTTGAACATCAAATAGTTCATTAAATGAAATGTTCTGGAAAAAAAATAATGTTTTGAAGGAAAAGAGACATTTAAAAGCACTAGTGTTCATGGTAACTGGTTCCTTGCACTTTAAAAAAAAATGACTATCAGGGCCAAAAAACCTCTACTTTTATTGGGCCTGTGATGGACAGAGGACTATGACCATTGTTTTAGGAAGACCAGATTAAATTGTAACTGCTCATCTTTTGTTTTCCTTCCTTCTTCAATACTTATTTCTCAAACTACCGAGATTGCCTCCAGACTCACTCTTTGATCACCTATTCTATGAAGAGGACTTAGAAGATCTATTTAATCCTGTTTCACCTGTGCACTTCCAATACTAGTCCCTGTGTGAATCAATATTATGGAATCCCAGTTGTTCAGTGAAGTTTTGTGCACCTGAATGGTATTTACCAAGGAAATGTCTATGTCGTGGAATGAAGCAGTTGGAGAGATGTGGATTTTTATGACCACATGGCACAACACAGCATCAGGTAGGCTCAGCCATTACAAGTGAAGAACACCCACAAGCAGCATTTACAGTTTTACTTATTCAGGTGCAACAACCAGTTCATAAAATGGGAATGTCAGAGAGGACACACTTGAGAAGGAACTTCCCCTTTGTGTGAGACTGTTGTTAGAAAACTTCATGTACCAACTAGCTGCTTCCTAGGGGAGCTTATTTAGGGAAAATAACTCTAACAACACACCACTGTACAGGGCAGGCTCAGAGTTCAGAAATCCTGTCAATCCTGTATTTGTTGACACATCATAACACAGCACTAAAAAATGAAATAAGGATTGTCACTATAACTGTTAAATGAATATAAATACTTACTGATATATTGATTTGTTGCAGGACATTCCTCCATGCAGTCAGAAATGGTCAGCTTAAGGGATACCCAGAACTGGCAGAGCGAGAGGAGTTGGAGGGTGGGACGGAGCCAGAACAGCACTGTCAAGACCTGGTAGTGGGTCTTGCCTTCCTTCTGCTTATCTGTCAGAATTTTTTTCAGCCTCTCATTTACTCAAAGACTTAAAAAAAAATCTAAAATATTCAAATAAAAACATAAAATAAAAGAAAAACATTAAACAACTCTTTAATGAAAGGCAATTATTCAATCAATAAGTGGTTTTGATGTTGTGCAATATCGTATCATGATGAAACTATTCTTTTAAAAAAGAAAAATGTAAATTATGCTATCTCAGCTCTTCAAATAGACAGAAAGAGTGAGAAAATAGTGCAGTAATGTCTGTGCTATGTAGAAGACAGCAATAAAAACAAATCTACTATTTTAAATTTTTTTTAATTATGATGTACAATTTTTATTAAACCAGGAAAAGAAGAAAATATCTTTCCCCTCTCCTGTTTATGAGGTATTTATACTTTTTCATGACATTTAAGACATAATATTCCTTTTCGAAACTATGTAGTATGGATCGTAACATGAAAATATTTTACTAACATAATTAAATGAACTCAGTTGTTCTGAAAAGAACTGCTTTGAAGGAAAAATAAAACAGATAAAAGCATCAGAAGATCATAGTAATATCCTATCTAGCTGCTGCTTATATCATCCAAATTCAGAATTTTTTTTTTTGAAAGCACTCATACCCGTGGAAGGCACACACAGAGCAGTAAGTATTGTTATACACAATATTTGTTTAGTCATAGGTTGACATGTTTTTTTGAGCTTGCTACCTGATCTACTCACAGAAGTTTTGTATATATATATGTATATGTATACAGATAAAATTGGTATGACATCAGTCTAAATTCTTTCATGCAAGTGGATATCTGAATGAAATAAAAAAGATGCAACTAGAAACAATATTTGATTCTATTAAAACACACAAAATATCTGTCTAAGACAAAGACGAGAAAGAGAAAACCAACACTAGTTCTTGGTCTTTTAAACATACAGCATTACACAAGGGATGAATTAACTCTGTGTACATATCCCTGTGTGTGTATATGTATATAATTAATATTTAATACCATGGAAGATGAACTCTAGTGACACTTGTTGCAACAGTCTAAGAAATCACTGCCTCTGTCTGTTCCAAAGGTATCCTGGAGGACACTGCCCTAATTGCAGAGTAGTCAGTAGAAAATATGAGTCTGAGCTGCAGGAGCTCTCACACAAAGTCAGAAGCCTTTGTTCAATCCCAGCTTGACCAATGCTGTACGATGCCAGAGTGGAAAGGTCCTGAGGCACACACACACATACTCCTTCCTCCAGCTCTCACAGAGACATAACCTGCAGCAGATGTGTGAGTAGAGACAGCTGAATTGAAAGACAGAAAAAAAGTTCTTTAAAACTCTTTTTCCACAGCCCTGAAAGCAAGTTTCAAAATATCTCTCTCTCCTAAAGGTTAAGCCTAGCTATACACTTTAGAAGACATATAATATTATTTTGAGAGAAAACGCTATTTATTTTTAAGAAAAAAAATCCCTCTCATTCCTTTCACAGACTGGATCCAGAGAACGTGTCTACACTGTATCTGTGCTTTCTGCACAGTTGATTAGTTATTTATGTACAGCTCAGACTGCACTTTTGTGTACATACAGCAGAAATCTTCATTGGTTAACACATGCAACTATATCTAAATATAAGCCTAAAGTGAGCTGCTGATTATGGATATCAATCCAGCATCAGTCTGGTTATAGTTTCAAAATTTGGTCAAGTATAGTGTATGATCCAATTTAAGACCAACACTAGAAATTCATAAAATCAAATGCAAAGGCTGTAAGATGGCTAAATTTGAAGCAGAGAAGGAGGAAATGAAATGCAGACCAAAATAAAATGAGGAAAGTGAGAGTGATACACAACGAATGTTTAAGATTTCAATTTGTTCATTAACAAAAGTATTTGAATTCTGTTGGCTTGTTTTGGCTTTCTCACCCTTGGCAGTCTGCAGAACACCCAGTTTGCACTCCAGCAAGCAAATTGTTACATGCTGTTTTCAAATGCTCATGTAGTTTTTTCCAGTGTTCAGACACTGTTCAAAATAAAGTGTAAAGCACAGACAGATTTGTGATGTCATGCCCACAAATCAAGGGGAACCCTCCTTTCCAAATACCTCCCTCTAACTTTCATTCACTCATTACACTCTGGAATTGCACTAGTACAAGGGAAATATATTTATGACCTACTTTATTTTAGAGAAAGATGCATGGGTAATGCATAATATTAACTCTTTGACAAAACAAAGCTAATATTCTCCCTCTTCATTGACATTCTAAAAACTATAATAGGATGGTAGAACAATAGCTTTCATTCCAGCTGAAGGCAAGTGCAAAAACATGTTATATAAGTTTAGAGGTTTGTCTTTTTTGAGGTGTTTTATGTGAGGTTTCTTTTGTTTGCTTGTTTGTTTGCGTTTGGTTGGGTTTTTTTTTCATAAATAGCATAAACATATTCTTGAGAAAAAAAATCCTGCTATTTTCTACTTACAGGGTTTCATCTCACTTCTGGAAGAAGTAGACTAATTTGGGAGAAGTATTTTAATACTGGTAAAAAAACCCCTGAAAATCTAAATAGTCCAACCTTAAGATGCAGAATGCAGAAATTTCACATGAATCTCAGCACTTTTATAGGGATTGCTGCACCTTAGTTGGGTGCAGCTGTTAGGAAATGCATTTCTATGGAGCTATTTTATAGTAACAAGGCTCTGCCATGAGTCTGCAACACTACTAAAGTTGCCTCAAGCAAGCAATTAAAATTAGAATTTCCTTCATTTTTTTTATTAATTTTCCTTAATTTCTTTCATTTTTACTTCTTCTACTGTTTTTTTCTTCGCGCTTTACCTGCTGTCATATTGTAGTTCTTTCTTTGTCTCTGTTTCCATCAATAATGTTATGCTAAATCAGTAGCAAATACTCTCTTATAAAAGCTTATAGTGAAAAGAATCAGCAAAACTGACTGTTAATCACAAGCATATTGTGATGAATCAACATCTTCTGACCCAAATACATTCAAGTACTATTTTACCCAGTTCAAAAGTAGAACAAGACAGGGGAATTGCAGGTAGCATCTGCTACATGGTATTCCTTTCATGCCATTGTGGTAAGTTTCAGTGTTTTAAGGTGGAAAGGCCTACTAGCAACAAGGCATGAAAGGGGAATGAGACACTAGAACTAGTGAGAGCACAGGGAATTTGTAAACCACTGATGTGTTCATTATTTATGTATTTTAAAATGTCCACCTAAACCTCCAAGTCATTTAAATAGGTCAAGGAAAAACAAGGAAGAGCTCTGTACAGGAAAGAATAAAAGATCTAGATAACCTAAAATTATAAAATATACATCAGAGAATTAACTGTAGGAGGGGTTAGTTCAGGTTCATTCAAATACATTTTATTAATCTTATATCGTTATTACTCAACAGTAAGTGTGTGCTGCTCCAAAGGGAAAGTGAGCTAGAAGCCAAAGGTCACAGCAAATCAGGCAGGTGCAATGTCCCACAAGACCCAAAGAAGAAGAGCAGCGGGTCTGGTGATAACCAGCATTATCAACCAGTTCAATGATCTCCAGACAAGCCCTTAGGGATGAGGAAGGCCTACAGCCAGGAGAAGGCAAGTCAGCAACATAAGGTCAGGATCAGTAGTCAGGCACAGGCAAGGGCCAAGCCTGAGCTTAAATGCAGCTCCTGAGCCAAGGGCAGGATTGCATGGGTGACGATCCCAGATGAGACTCCTTACAGCTATTTCTCACACAGCTCATTTCACAACAGTCTGATCCAAGTACCTGAGAAGGCCTTAAAGAAGTTCCTTGTCAGCTAAACTGTGAGAAGTGAGGACTGCTGGTGCACTCAGGGCCATGGCACAAATCCTGAAACTCTTGCTGCTGGTGATCATCCCCCAAGTTCAATAAGTGTCACTATCTAAGACCCATTTGGTTTCTAACGTGCTGTTTGGAGTCAACTGCAAGTGACTTCTCAGGGATTCCCATGCCACCAGATGATACTCTGAAGTGCTCCACTGACCCGCTAGGGTTAGAGGCAAAGCTTGTTGAAAGTATCCTATTGAGTTATGCCAAATCTCTGAAGGTATTGTTCTTCTACACAGACCCTTAGGGAATTACAGGATTTGTAAATGTAAAATTAAATTTCTAAATGTCTATCTTTAAAGTCTCCCTGAAGGAGTGTTAAGAAAAGTTCATCTCTGGGTATGTATCTAGAAACAGATACTTGAAAAATGATCATGCAACACTACGAATCAATAGAGAGAGAGAAGAAAGGGCAAATTACAGGTAGACAGAGATGGGAATGTAATAATTGATGTTACATGTTCGCACCTGAAATATTACTCTCTAATCTCAATTTCCACCTGTGTATTTGTTTTAAGAAATAAATTACAGGTGCATAAAGATTCTAGCTAGTGATAGGGATAATTGAACATGCCTATTGCTTGGTGAGTAGAAGAGCAAAATCAACATCTGCAGTCTTAGCTGGAAACAGCCTGAACATAGCCAGAATTCCGGCGTATCATCAGGAGCAACACAGGAGAGTTGGCACATGGCCCTCAACACTATTACCATCAACATATGTTTCTATTATAATGAACTTCAAGCTCATTTAGAAAAAAAAAATTACATCTGTCAAAATCAAATGGCCAGCTGAATGTTTTCATGTAAATGTTCTTTGGAATAGGTTTTGGCCATTCAAATGCTACCAATGAAAAATATATGCATGTTACATAGATTGGGTGGTCTCTCCTAAGTCTGTCTATGTCAGCAGTTATCCTATTCCCTCCCTTGCTGAAGATCAGAATTGGGAAAGGAAACATATAAGCCTGGGAACAGCACTGAGCTTATGAAACAGGAGACATACTATATATATTTCACGTGGCATTGTGCAGCATTGTGCAGAATTTCTGCGGCAGAGAAACGGGAGTTGTTTCTGAGGATCACTCTCCAGACACTAGTGTTCTCCAAAATTATACCTTTTATCTTTCTGCTCATATTCTTTGTGCTCCTTATCCAAATAAAACACTTCAGTGCTTGTTACCAGATCTAGATGTA